TCAAGCTGCTACATAAAAGCAGAAGTTACAACCAATATCCACGCAAATCCCACACGAGAGGATGACACCTGCTGCGCAATCCTATAAAAGAATAGGCACATCCTGGCCTACTCTCACATCTCCCACACATCGGACGATCCATGAACAAGGTACGACATGTCTCCCTTGTTATGGGTATGAATCAGACAAGATCAAACTGGGACTCGATTTCTACACTGCAACAGTTAAGGCGAACCCAACCCACGCAGAGCTAGGGCACCTTTAAAAAAGAAAGGAGAGCTAAATACGGCCGCCGAATCTAAAAATCACCATTCCATCAACCACTTAAATGCTAGGCAGAGAGAGCAACGCTATACGGCTACCCTCGTTCACCGACTCATTGGATCGAGGCAAGGAAAATATCATTTTGGTTTACCCTCAGTTGTTTGCTTAAACAGGAACACCAGCGCCGCACGAGCAAGCGAGCAAAGGAGCATTCCAACTAGAGACAATGGAAGGAAAACTACTACAAAATAATTGAAATATCGCCCACCTCACAGCAACTTCTGGAAAATGACGCCCCTCAAGTCGTACTACTTTTCCCCCATCTGGGTTTTGTTCCAATTGGGTTTTCTCGGGGAGGTTTTTAACAAGGCGATGAGGGGGATGTCTCCAATTTCAAGGGATAATTCATCACCCTGCCTACCGACGAGCCCTCCCGGCCGAACGATGAAGGGACAAGATATAGGGAAATTCCAATATATGCATGAAACGAACGCATACGGTATTCCCTGGTTAGCAAAACAACAATGTTTTATACTCTCCGACATCATACTCTCTAATGCAAACAAAATTAAGCAAACTGGGACTCACCCAGGAAACACAAAAATTAAGAAAACCGGGACTCACCCAGGAAACGTAGAAATTAAGCGAACTGGGACTCATCCAGGAAACGCAGAAGTTAAGCAAAGCGGGGACACCCGAAACTCTCCAAAAAAAGGGGAGAAAGCAAAATCGAGTACGCCAAGATCCGCTCCGATGTCTGCAGACAGTGTGGTAACCTATGATTCGCAAAAATCTGAAAATGACATAACGGGTTAACATTCCGACATTAGCTCGAAATAACACCCCTACGACCAAGGTCCATCGTCAAAGAGAAGAGTTCGACATCGTTCGAATCATAACAGGTTAACATTTCGACATTATCTCGAAATAACACCCCTACGGCCAAGGGCCATCGCCAAAGAGAAGAGTTCGACTTTGTTCGAATCATAACGGGTTAACATTTTGACATTAGCTCGAAATAACACCCCTATGGCCAAGGGCCATCGCCAAATAAAAGAGTTCGACATCGTTCAAATCATAACGGGTTAACATTTCTACATTAGCTCGAAATAACACCCCTACGGCCAAGGGCCATCGCCAAATAAAAGAGTTCGACCTCGTTCGAATCGTAACAGGTTAACATTCCGACATTAGCTCGAAATAACACCCCTACGGCCAAGGGCCATCGCCAAAGAGAAAAGTTCGACCTCGTTCGAATCATAAGGGGTTAACATTCGACATTAGCTCGAAATAACAACCCTACGGCCAAGGGCCATCGCCAAATAGAAGAGTTCGACCTCGTTCGAATCATGACGGGTTAATATTTCGACATTAGCTCGAAATAACACCCCTACGACTAAGGGTTATCGCAAAAAAAGGGAAGAATTCGACCTCGTTCAAATCATAACGGGTTAATATTTTGACATTTAGCTCGAAATAGCACCCCTACGGCAAAAGGCCATCGCAAAAGGGAAAGTTCGACCCTGCTCGAATTACGCGGACTAACATCCCGGTCTTACCCACAATAATGCCTTTGCAGCCATCGGTCGTCGTCGTACATTTTTTTTTACCTAAAAATTAATTTCGCTGCAAACTCCAAGTTCGACCTCGCTTGAATATATATGAAAAGAGCGACCTCGCCCAAATCAACAACAGTTTGATCCCACTCGAATGACTCAAGTCAAGACTGACTTCATCCAAAACAACGAATCTGAATATAACCTCGTTTAAGTCAAAGATGAATCTGCTTAAAGAGATAAGTCAAAAGCCGATCTCGCCCAAATAGGCGAATTCAATGAGACTCCATTCGGACTCACACGACAAAATCCTACTCGGTCCGGTTAAAATTGGCTTCCCTAAAAAGTCAGGAATTCACCATACAAAAATCCGAAAGTCTACGCCAAAGATGTGTAAAGCAAGTGGAAAGGGAGAGAAACACAAAGGATGTACAACGGCGAAAAACCTTTTTATTTAGACAGTTGTGCAAATGGCCGCAGATTATACACGGCTAAAACCTGTCCAATGCAGAAAACACAACAAAAAAAACAAGCAAAATAAAGACTAAGGTAACAACTCGGCGTCCTCCCCGCCGTCCTCCCCATCACCATCTCCAGGAAATTCCTCCTCAGCATCAACTTCCACGCTGGCCTCCGGTGTCGCAGGATCGTAGCCACAGTTAACACGAGCTTCTCGTGCCTTCGCCCGAGCTCCTTCATAAGCGGCCTCAGTAACATTGCCCGCTTCCCACAAACTCTTGTATATGTCCTTCGGCATGGACCCAGAGCTCGTACAAATGGCGAGGAACAACGGCGGAGGTAGATTCGACTTGAGCCAACAATTGCGCCTTTTCGGCCTCAAGAACAACGACCTGAGCTCCCAAGGTTGAAGCTTCCCGGTCAATTTTGCCAATGGGCTCTTCAAGCCTTGCCTCTCTGAACGTAGCCATCACCCTCTCAGACTCTTGCTCGGACTGAAGGACGCGGATAGTGTCCTCCAACACCGCAGCCCTCGCTGAAGCCGACCCCAAGCACTCTCGGCATTCTCCAACTCGGAGACCTTCCTCTCCATCTCAGTTAATTTCCCCATCCACTCTGCACTCAAAGCCTCAACTTTGATGGCATTTTGATCCAACTCGGACTGCAACGTTAGCACCTTCGCCTGAAGATGCTCACACTCTACGATGACCCCCTTTCCCAACTCAAGTTCTTCATCCTTCACACTAAGTAGCTCTTCGAGCTCGCTGTTCCTGCGAATAGACTGCATCAGCTCCTGATACTTCTTCTCCAGTTCCTACCCGAGATATTGACTGCCAGCATTCGCTCTAAGACGTTCGTGCATCTCATGACACTTGTTGCGGTAGCGCCCGATACTTTTCCAACGTCATCAGAAATTTTTTGGCTTGAGTGTCAATCACCAGCATGTACGACTGAAAGCCCAAAAAAGAAGAAAAGAGGCGGTAAGGGCCAAGGTCGCCAAAAACAAAATGAACACGAAAGAAAGAAGAGGAGAAACTTACCCTCTGGCCCATAACGGCCATTTCATGCATCAAATCAACGTCACGGACGTCCCGAAGAGCCTCACACTCTATGGCAGAGCACAAAGTTAATCTCCTACGGAATCTCAAGTATACGAGACGGACCTCCCGCTTTTACCACCGAGCAGGTAAGGCCCTCCTCGAACATTCTAACATCATCAGGATCAAGATCCGATTCTGACTCGTGGTCGTCGACCACGACACCCTTTCCCCTATCTGCAGCTAAAGAAGAAGCACGACTCGGTCCGGAAGACGAAGGCACGCCCAAAGTGGCAACAACGGCCTAGGGACCCCGACCTCCCATCACAGTAGCATGTTGATCAATCGTAGCAGTCGAAGCCTCTGCCGCCGTGTTGGTCATGATCGCCAGTTTTACCTCTTCGGCCGGGTTAGCATCACCACCTATTTCAGACGTCGTCAAGGTATTCTTTATTTGGCTATTATGGGCAAGCTAAACACTAGGGACAGATTAGTAACATGGGGGTGACAAATGACTTACTATGTCCACTGTGTAACGTGCCCATTTGCTGATTCCATCTGGAGAAAACTTTTACAATGGATGGGTATTACAAGACAGGCCATGGAATGAAAACAAGAGATAGCTTGGCCATATTGCCACGCAAAGGGTAGATCAGCCAATGATGAGATATACAGAATGGCTTTAGTTGGATGTGTCTACTATGTGTGGCAGGAAAGAAATCAGAGTATCTTTAGGGCACAACAGAGGCAACAAGTGATAACAGTAAAACTAATCATATAAATGATATGTTGAAGAGTCCATAAGATGACCAGACTCAGAAAAAGACTTGAAGAGCTGAACTTCTATCCGTGACCAAGAGATGCTGAGGAGTAATACACTCCACTTGATACAGTGAATGCTAGTTAGCTATTAGTATAGGGAGTATAGGATGATACTAAGTTCTGGGAAAATGTCCAGCCATAGTGAAATTTTGTTTTTTGAGCTGTAAATTTATAATTACCAAAAAAAATAGTAACAAATGATTAACATAATTTATAAGCTGCTGAACTTTCAAGAATATTATTACTCCTAATTAAAAAATATTACTAGAAATCTAGAATCAAACACATAATCAAGTAAATGTGTTCTGGCAAAAAAAAAAATAGAACAAAACAACGATATGATTTTCCTACAGATATGGTACAATATGTATTTGAAGATTATGACTAAACAATGAAATTAATGTCCAGTGTTAGCCTAAAGGCCTAAATGCCCAAAATTAGATAAAGGCTATGGAGGGTAAAAGAACCCGTAACTTGGCCCGCCTCACATTGAGTTTAATTTTTCATATTAAAACTCGCCCCGCACCCGCATAAGCTTCAACCTGCACTGCACCTGCATAGGTTTAAACCCGCCCCTCCCCGCACCCGCACCGTTACCATTCCTAACCAAAAACTAAGAGGAACATTGCACTCTCATTGTACAACTTTTTCTATCTAGCACAAAGTAGTAGAATATGTCGAACAATTAGTCCTACACTTCAAAAGCTTCAGGAGAATAGTCACAACATTCTAAAATTTAATGCAAGTGAAAAAAGCATCATCTTACTTTGGTCAAATGCACGATGCTAGGACATGGCTAAAATTTAATTCTCCAATATGAACATCTAATGAATAGAAAAATATCATAGAGAAACAACAGATAAAATGAGAAGTGACCAATGCTTCATATCAACAATAAGTTAATCAAATACCTCGAGTTTGAGATTCTGATTCATGAATGACATTGTCTGCCCACTCATCCACCATAACCTTTTCATGTGCTAAATATCTCAGTCATACAGGCCCAACAACCCCAGCAATTAGAGGGCTTACATTAAATTTCTCCACTAGCGCCTTACACTGCAATTGGATCATAACTTGTAACCCCATAACATACCTTAATCGTACTCCTAAATAATAATCAATATATGTTAAGGAACTTTGAGACGACCCAAAATCAGCAGGTTCGTTAGGCTCAACTCCATCACCTTCATTATCCTCTTGGTTGTCATCTAAAGTGTTCAAAGTTTCTAGATGCTGGGATTGTGAAAGCTTAACCTAAGATATCGGCTCAGCTTGACAAATCTGGGTGGGAGCACGGCGCTGACTAGCAGCATATATTCCCCCATCCAGATTGAATAGGTCATCATCATCAACACCAGTGTCAATGCTGTCATCGCTTGAGAGCCGCAAAGAGTGCAATAGAAGAATCCATCACCACCATCATTAAAGGATATATTGCCACAAATCTCGCATCGTTTTTGAATCCGCTCCATCATTCTATCTTTTTGAATGGTTCAGTGATCAAATTCTCTGACATGATATGTTGGTTAATTAGTCTACTAGCAGCAGGTTAACTCAAGGAGACTAAAACGATTAATCCTAGAAATTGTTTTTCGCTAAAATTAACATTTCTTAGAAGCACTCTATGCCAACAAAATGATAGTGTTATTTGTTAAAATTCCTATACTTAAAACGCAAAACACGATTCAACCAAAGCAATCTCAATTTTATGGAATTAATACTCCTCAAATAAACAAAAGATCTTTTTCACCTTATTCTTCATGATTATATAGTTGGTTAACAATTACATTCTTACCTCAGTCCTAAAAGCTAATTGCAAGAGACAAAGGCATGTCATTATAATCATGTGATTATAACTTGAAGTATTAGATCATGCAAAATTTACTTTACTCCATTGAAGCATTATATAAAACACCTTCAGGGCGTCCTCCAAAAAAAAATTAAAGCAATGCAGCAAATTGTATCGATATTATTTTCCTAAGTTAGTGTACAAATTGTAACTGGAACAGATAATTTTTCCATTTAGGATTTAACTTATATGCATTCACTCTGTAAAGTTAAATTATCAGTCAAATTAAAATTTTTAAAAAAAAGAGCTTAACCTTGATATCAAGCTGAAATCTCCTTCCACTTTCTACTGATGTAACTAAGTTTCATCGGCTTTGCTTTAGCCGCTGCGGTTTGAACCGGTTCTGCCGTTTTCCTCTACTTTTCGGTGGTAAGCTACTGTAGTCGGAGTTTATATAATTCTATACATTTAGAGATTGTTGATCGTTGCCGGACTCTTCCTCCGGTGATTCTCCGACGACTGTGAATCCCGGCGATGATTTGCTCACCTCTGAATTACTCCAATTGAAGTTTCTCTTTTTACTAAAACCTAAATTGAACGTAATAATCCAATAAGAATTACCTTATTTTTCCCTTTTGTTTTTCTATAGTACTCTTCTATTTCATTACATCATTTACTTAGTCTATTTTAAAAAGAACAATCCTATGAATTAATTTAATTTTTATTTTTAGTTTAGTTACATAATTTATAGCCATGCAAGTATTAGGATGAATATTCACGAGTGCTAATTTATTTTTTTAATCACGTATATAAATGCAGTACTTAATAACAACGTAAAAAAGTAAAATAATAAATAAATTATTAATGAAAACAAACTATATAGCAAACCAAAAATATAGAGGAAAGAACTGCAAGTAAAAATATGAAGAAATTATTAGTGATATTAAGATAAAGGTTGTTTGGATGGTTGTTACGCATTGTGTTGTATCGTATTGTTACTTTAAATATGATATTTGTTTTGATTGTCACTTAATTTTTATTGTATCGTATCGTTAAATCCGTTGTTACATAACAACGGAATGTGCCACTTTATGTAACGATCGATTTGGTGTGGTCGCATCGTTACCTTGTCTTTTTATCTCAATCTCACCCTTCATTATTATAAAATAATCTTATTTTATCATTTACCCTACTTTTTATATAGTAAGTTTACCCCGTTTCATAATTTTTCTTTATAATATTGCAAGTTTATTCTTCATATTGCTGGCATGTGATATCATTAAACGATGGCAAACGACACATTTTATCCAAACATTGTATTTGAGCTATGAAGAATATAATGTTTATTCGTTATAAATACAATGCTTGGATAGAATGTGTCGTTTGCCAATATAAGAGTACTACAGAAAAACAAAAGGGAAAATAAGGTAATTCTTATTGGATTATTATGTTCAATTTAGGTTTTAGTAAAAAGAGAAACTTCAATTGGAGTAATCCCAGAGATGAGCGAATCATCGTCGGGATTCACAACCGTCGGAAAATCACCGGAGGAAGAGTCCGACAACGATCAACAATCTCTAAATGTATAGAATAATATAAACTCGGACTACAATAGAAGAGTTTTACTCCTAGTGAAAATAGTGTGAGGAGGAAAAGAAACAGGACAATCAGCAACCAAATCAGCATGCATAGTTCAGGGGAAACAAACACAAAACATGGAAATGGGGAATAGGGACAAGTAGTTCATATGTGAAAGCATATTTGCACACAGGTAAACATCAGAAAAGTATCACAGGACTTAAACAGTCATAGCACAGTCTATCACAAAGTGTTCATTCCAGGAGCTTAACAGCATTAGATTGAGGGGTGCTAGAATTACACACTATGTTCAGGGAAGGGTTCAGGATTACATAAGTACATGCTTATAGTGTACTGGGGTCAGGGGTAAGGCTAAATTGTAGTGAACATGTAAGAGAGCAATAAATATGTTAAACTAGAGGGGAAAGAGCAATCACATTGGTGAACTAGTAAATAGGCATGCTAATTGCAAGGTAAACAGCAGAACCATAAGTAGAAGCATAAGAGAAATAAAAGGAAGTGCAATATGAATAAAAACATATTGTTTTGGATGCTGTAAATCAAATAGAAAACATACCAGTCAAAAATGAGAGAATGAGTTCAAAGAAATAGAGTAGTAGTGTAGAGCAACAGAACAGTAGAACAGTAGAGCAATGAAGCAGTAGAGTTACTCAGTCTTGGCTTCAAGCCGACTGAGTAGCAAGTAATCAGCAAGAGAAGCCAGAGAGTATGTGTGTGTAAAGGAGAGAGCTTAGAACAATGTATTGTTCGTGTGTGTGTTGGTGTCCTATGCTAAAGAAAGAGTAGAGTATTTATAGTTTGAGAACAGGCAGGAAAATAAGGTAACAAGTACTGACTTAGCACAATTTTAGAAACCATACAAATCAGAATCAATCAAAGGACCAGACTCTCTTTAATTAGGGAGTCATAATTCAAACGGGCTCAATCAGAGTTAAGTAAGGGAAATAATCAACTATAAACTGATTTTACCCTAATAAGAGTAGTAAAAGTATGTAGCATGTAATAAAAACCAAATACAGAATATTTCCAGTAAGGAAAGTATATGTTAAATATTTGAAAGCTTATTTATGCACATAAATAAGGTAGAATACAATTTAGTTCTGAAAATCAGTCAAAGAGTCACGGATGAGACTGAAAATCACTGGGAATCAGTGTTAACTAAGGCAAGTATTACTCAAACAAGGAAGTAATTTGAAAAATCAGTAAAGAGCTCTAAGGAAAACACACAGTAATCACAGCTTTGAGGAAAGATATCACAGCTTTGAAGGAAATTAATAGAATCAGTAGAGAATATTATGTAAAAACGGAACGAAATGATCTTGTTTTGTTCCTCGGTTGAAAAGACGATACAACAAATAATCAAGTCTGTTAAATAATAAATAGCACAAAATCAGAGAAACCCTAAGCAAGTAGTGGAGAGCAGTAGAAGAGTGAAAACCCTAACAACAAATTAAAGCGAGAATCACAGAGAATACATGGATAGTTTCATAAGAAACGAACACACATAAATACATGATCAAAGACAACCTAGAAAATTAGGGCTTTTTAGCATAATAACTCAGACAACAAGAAAAGCCTAAGAGAATCGTTCAAACACAGTAGAAATTACTAAGAATCAGAAGAAGAACCGTTTTTGAAAGGGATCAAGAAACCCTAACTTCAAAGTGAGGAAATCGTTGGAAAAATAAAGAGTTTTTTTTAGGAGAACATGCGAAAATATTAAAAGAGACATAGATCCGTCACAGCTCTAAAAAGATAGGACGATTTAAAGCTAGGGTTTCCAGGGAAAATCCAAAAGGAGAAGAAGACTTAAATATTACCGGCGTTTGGCCAGAAAATGCAAGGATCTTACTCGAACGGCCATAGGAGGCCGGAAAACATGGCATGAGACCATAGATGGGAGTGTATTGCCTCAGGGTCACTTGAGATCCTCCATTGGTGACACAAGCATGAAAGGCGGAGCCATAAGGTCGATGAGAGGTGGAAACTCCATAGTTTCCGGCGGGGAGGTAGCCGGAGAGGGAGAGAAAGAGCTCAAGGGGAACGAAGGTTCTAGAGAGAGTTGAGAGGATTCAGATAGAGACGGTTGAATGTTACGAGTGAGCGGGAAAATGAACCGGGGGGTAGTCTATTAGGTGTTAATATGGTAAGTTTTAATCTGGGCCGTTGATTTGAATTAATCAACGGCTCAGATCAAAAGGGGGATTGGGCCGGGTATAGTTGAGGATTGGGCTAGGTAGTTAATTGGGTTAGGGGTCCGTATTAATTAGGCTAAAATCGAAATTAAAAGTGGCTAGATGTTAAATACCCGTAAAATAGCTAAATAATTAATAAAAGTGGCTAATAATTATATAAAATGAAATTGATGCTAAATAAACTATATTAAGATGATTAATTAGTATTTAAAATACAAATGACTAATTATTGAGTAAAAATAACATAAAATATGTAACCAAATAATGCCAATTTGGCTAATTTGTGAAATAATAAAATCTTAATAGGACAAAAAATAGTATATTAAGCCAAGAAATGTTTTGAACTCATTTGTAATGCAATTTATGATTAATTATTGGAGATAAAAATACTGGATAAATTAGAATAAATTAATAACAATGTGGGAAAATTATAGAAAAATGCCAATTATTATAAAAACTGATTTTGAAGGTATATTTGCAAGTTTAAAAATAATTTGAGGAAAATTGGGTATCAAGATATGTTATCATTGATTTTCACACCAAGATCGTGACGTTGGCTATGCTAGGCTTGCCGAGATTAGAGTGGAGGGGTTCCTTAGAGTATACTCCCCGCAGGGTCATTTCTTTTCTTAAGGCTCAACGGATGGTTGAGAAGGGGTGTGATGCATATTTGGCTTATGTGAGAGATGTTAGTGCTGAGACCTCTACAATTGAGTCAGTTCCAGTAGTGAGGGACTTCTCTGATGTGTTTCCATACGATCTTCCAGGTATGCCGCCCGACAGAGATATTGATTTCGGCATTAATTGTTGCCGGGGACTTAGCCCATTTTCATTCTTCTCTATCGCATGGCTCCTCTTAAGTTGAAGGAGCAGTTATAGGAGTTGCTTGATAAAGGTTTCATCAGGCCCAGTGTATCACCTTGGGATGCTCCGGTATTGTTTGTAAAGAAAAAGGATGGTTCGATGCTCATGTGTATTGATTACCGGCAGCTGAATAAGGTTACGGTGAAAAATAAGTACCCATTGCCTCGCATTGATGATTTATTTGACCAGCTACAGGGTGCTAGGGTATTCTTCTAGATTGATCTACGTTCGGGCTATCATAATTTGAAGATTCGGGAGCCGGACATCCTGAAGACTGCTTTCAGGACCAGATATAGCCACTATGAGTTCCTTGTTATGTCATTTGGGCTGACCAACGCCCCAGCAGCCTTTATGCACCTGATGCGTAGTGTGTTCTTGAGGAGGCCCATAGCTCGCAGTATTCCATTCACCCGGGTACCGCAAAGATGTACTAGGATTTGAGACAACACTATTGGTGGCGAAGGATGAAAAATGCTTTAGTAGAGTTTGTAGCCAAGTGTCTCAACTGTCAGCAAGTCAAATATGAGCATCAGAGACCGGGAGGGTTACTTCAGCAAATTGATCTTCTAGAGTTGAAGTGGGAGCGCATCACCAGGTACTTTGTGGTTGGACTTCCTCGGACTCTGAGAAGTTCGATGCTATTTGAGTGATCGTGGATCGGCTGACCAAATCAGCCCATTTCATTCCAGTATTGACTACATATTCCTCTGAGAGGTTGGCTGAGATTTATATCAGGGAGATTGTTCGCCTCCATGACATTCCAGTATCTATCATTTCAGACAGAGGTACACAGTTCACTTTACAATTATGGAGAGCCGTTCAGTAGGAGTTAGGCACCAGGGTGGAGTTGAGTACAACCTTTCACCCTTAGACAGACGGGCAGTCCGAGCGCACGATTCAGATTCTCGAGGATATGCTTTGTGCTTGTGTGATGGATTTTGGAGGGTCATGGGACTGATACTTGCCACTTGCCG